GAGGGACACGTGTACAGTCGTGATTTTTGTCAACACGCATCAATCACCGTTGATTCTACTTTTCTATTTAAAGGCGTCATCATCGTCTTCTCAAATTAGCTTCTCCTCTTTGTCGTCTTCCTCCTCACACGCAAATCTCTTGTCCTTGATCTCTTCTGGTTTCCATGATCCGAGTTTAGGGTCTCAACGGTATTTATCTGGCTGTTTAGAGATTCATCCCCCTCTCTCTTTCTCTCCTTTTGGTGTTTTCTTTCTGAATTTCTCAGCGTCTTTCTGAAATTCGAAATTAGAGAATTAGGGGTTTTTCGATTGGTAAAAGGGTTACGAAGAGCATAAGATAAGAATGCCTTCGGTGCCCACAAAGCTTCTCCTTTTACTCCTTTTGGTTCCTTCGTTGACTCCCTATCATTCTGGTTTGTCTTCCCATCGTCTTAAACCTCTCCAAAAATCTGATTGGCGTGGTAATCTTAGTTAACATCTTCCTCCTCTCTGCTCTCTCTTTTACATCTTCTTCGAAACTCATTGAAAGACTCAAACTTTGCTTGAGCTTTGGTGTTTGTTCGTTTTTTTTTACTTTTTGCGGTGTTTGATTCGCAGTCCCACGAAGGTATGAAGCTTTAACGCATTTGGAATTGGCTAAGTTTAGTGTCTTTTAGCTCAAAGATGATAACTTTGTAACTTGTTTGTGGCAGTTACTACTACTACTAGGACTTGACTATCTCCTGCTATATTTGGTTGGATATGAGCTCTGTTTCTGGTAAAGGTGCAGACTTTGAGATTTCGGTTTCGAGTCCCACGCAATGCTCTGGTGGCGTTAAGCATTTAACGCATGCTGGATCTGAAGAATCTCTGGAACCTGATGGAGATGAAACTGGTTATATAAACCAAACTGTGAATGAAGAGTCAGATACGAAGAATGAGCTAGAATCAGCTACGGAGGGTTTCGGCAATTCCACTTTAGGTTCTGTACCTTCCAAGTCTTCAGATGATGAAGACAAGGATGAGAACCTTACTACTGTAACTGTAAGTCAGCTTGTGTTATCTCGACATAATGGTTTATATACGCAGATTGTATTGTCTCTGGTCTATTGGATTTGTTCCTTGTTTGTGTGCAATACTATCTTATCCGTATAAGCTGGTCTTTCTTGCTCTTCTGTTGCCAAGTTAAGAGTTGTGTACAATCTATTGGAGCTTAAAGGAATCACAGTAATTAATTGTTTTGCCCAGTCTCGCTGGACATTGATATTTCCCATTTGTGTGTTACTAGTTAGCAGTTCTGTAGTATGTCCCTGAAATAAACTGAAAGCAATGTGGACAAGGATCTATATACTTTATATCCTATAATAAGAGTTAAAGAGTCCTTGGAATTGGCTGTGCATTCTCTGATTGTCTCTCATTCTCACCTGTTTGTTTAAATTTCAACAGGCACCAGTTGTTCTCATCCCTGCTATAAAAGGCAGCCGGGAGAAGCATGGCTTGACACTGAGGAAGACTAGTGTTTCATGGGCGGATGACGTGTATGATCCTCCTCCCTCCATAGCCTCGCACACAAGAAACAAGAAGCAGCAGCAGAAGTCAAAGAGCAAAGACAGCCACAAGAAGACCGGTAAGAAAGGACAGAAGGGCAAAGACAGCTCTTCCTCTCGTAGTGGCAAGGACAAGAAGCAAGCTTCTCGCAAACACAGTCGCGAGAAATTTGATTGGGTTACTCAGATGCCTATTGTTGCAGCTTCTTCTTGAAGGGTAATATGGCATCGGCTGTTAAGAATGCACATCTATGAGATGTGCTCCCTCTTTGTCTAATAAATAATCATATCACTTTTTATTTGTGTTCTGTTCATGACAACAGCTTTTCTTATGTGTACTGGTTGATCGTAAACATTGCTGTGAGGTTTTGTTGAAGTTTGTTTCTTTTGTTTCTTTTTGGAATCAGTTTCACTTTTGTGAAGAACTCAATGGAGCTTTGTTATTTGAAATGATCTTGTCTTATTTGAAGCAAACTTAGTTTATTAAAACTGAGATGATAACACAACATCACATGAATCTCTGCCTCTTGGTCTAGGTATCAAGAGGTATACTCAGCGTTGATCTTGACATAGTCATAGCTAAGATCACACCCCCACGCCTTTCCTGTGGCTGTACCTTCACCTACGGATAAATCTATTTTAACAGTTCCATGAACCTCGCCAGCTTTCTTGAGGTAGTTACTGGCTCCGTCCCTGTGTGTAAATACACTTCTGTAAGAACATGATTTAACTTCATCTTCCCATTGAGACAAAATCAGTTGTAAGATAAGAAACCTGTCAAAAGGAAGAGGTTGGCCATTCTCCATGAGTGAAAACTCGCCGAGTGATATCTCAAGCTTATCCATCTGGAAAGAAACGCCAGCGTAGCCAGCAGCTGCAGCTATGCGTCCCCAGTTCGGATCTCTTCCATAGACAGCTGCCTGTAATGACAGATGTTATAAACAAGAGGAATAAACACTTTGATCATTCATGTGTCACTGTATTTACGCACTCATACTTTGACCAGTGAAGAGGAAGCCACCGAGCGTGCAATTTTTGCTGCTTCTGCTTCAGTTTCTGTTCCTTTTACTGTTACCTGGTGGTTTTGAGTTTATACGTTAAGGCCTGTTTACAATCACAGAGTAGGAAGAAAACGTTTGTGAACCTCAATGAGACATGTTGCGCCTTCCCCATCCCAAGCTATTGATTTGGCAAGTCCTTGCATCACCTATTAATTTTCAAGTTTACATGTTAACGTCCAGCTTATGAACTACTGTTTGAAAAATAGCAAGAACATACATACCGCATCAAGGCAAGCCTGAAGCTGTACAGCTTCCTTACAGTTCAATGACGATATAAAAGGTGATCTAGATAGGCCACTCGCCAAAGCAATGACTGTGTCGTTAGTACTCGTGTCCCCATCTACCTATTAGACCATGCTTTTTCATTAATCGGAGCCTGGAGGCTGAAAAATAATCAATGTTTGAAACTGTGTGACTTACAGTGATCTGGTTAAAACTTCGGTTTACTGCAACCTTTACCATCTTTCTCCAGATATCACTTTCAACTAGAGCGTCTGTTGTGATGACCTGAGAAATTTAAATGAAGATTTGGCGATATCAATGCGTATGTCTTAAAAGCTATAAAGAAAGGAGAAGCTAAAGAACATACACCTAGCATAGTTGCCATATTTGGATGGATCATCCCTGAGCCTTTTGCCATACCACCAACTCGGATGGTGGTTCCTCCGACCTGAGCATTTTCAAAACATTGTAAGATATATAAAACTGTGCAATTAAGAAACAGAACACAACTCTCTTTCTTATACCTACCAGTGATTCAACTGCCACGCTCTTGCTTACAAGATCCGTTGTAGTAATTGCTATAGCAGCAGAATCTGCCCTGTATATCAAATTTTGATTTGGTTGAAAGGATGTTTAAACGTGAAGATTGTAACTTCAGAGCTGAAAGAGACAAGAAGATTACTGTTCAACAGAGTCTGACATAGAGTTGACTAGTGTTGGAAGTGCTTGGAGAAGCTCTTTCTGCAAAACATCATTGAGATCGTAGAGGTGAGAAACACAAGTGATGGCAAAGTTACTGAGAAATGTGTTGTACCTTCTTTATCCTGTGACCAATAACCCCAGTTGACTCGATTAATACTTCATCAGGATTCACTTTAAGTATCTGCAACAATGAAGAACAACGTGAAAATGTTGAAAGGTTAGCGGGAGACACAAGAATCATAAGACATCAAGATGTACCGTGGCGAGAGAACCAACACAATCTAACATATCTTGGTAACCAGCATCACCCTGAAACAGGAATGATAATCAACCTTCAACATATAAATATAATGAGTGATGCATAGCTAAAAACCTTTTTACAGTCAGCCTATTTCAACTTGTAAACAACGTATCTCGAGAATACTTACCGTAGCTGCATTAGCCTGACCGGCATTAATCAACACTGCACGCGCCTGAAAGATTACAAAACTTACTGATTCAAATCTCAGAAAGGTAAGTTCGAAATCCAAATGATGAAGTAGAGATTTACCGTATTTGAAGTCTCAAGAACTTTTTTACAGTAAACTACAGGAGCAGCAGCCACCACATTCATAGTAAACACTCCTGAAATCAAATCATCAATGAAGAAAATCAGAAACTTCTTTTTGCCACTGAATACATATCAAAGAACCAGCAAAAGAGAAAAAGAACCTGCAGCTACAGCGTCAACATCACAGGTGACAAGAGCAAGATCAGGCTTCTTCCCTGAAGCTCGTAATCCAGCATACATACCCGCAGCTTTAAACCCTTTCGCAGCTGTCACTCCACCTGCTACCTAAACAACAACAAGATTTGAAGCAAACTCAATAGTCAAAAACAATGCAGAGTTAAAAAAACCTGTTTCCATGAGCCTTCAGGTAGAGAAATTGGAGCCGCTGGTATGTTACCAGACGCCTCTTCCATTGCGAACACTCTCAACTCTCTCCGTGAACACGCCACAAAACTCTGAATACATAGAAAAAATAGTAAAGTTTCAAACTTTACTTCTTAATCGGTGACCAATGACGCGCATAAAGTAAAGGGCTTCCTAATGAGAGAAAGAGAACCTTCGGTGCGAAGAAATGTGGAAGCTTGAGGGAGGAGAATTGAGTATGATAACAAGAATGCATCTTTCTTGACAACACTCGCCAAACTCGAGTTCACGAAGCTTGCAGATTTTGATTGGTTGTCGTTTATGTACTTTGTGTCTGAAAAAAAAAATCAACTCCTTAAACCCTAGAGACCAAAGCCTGTTTTGTCTGATTGTTGTTGGTTTGTGATTCTGGTTTAAAGTTTAAAACTTCTCCGGTTTAGTCAAACCTACTACATCATATGATTGTCTCAGAAACATAAAGGTCTGAAGTGAATTTGCATCTGGCTCAAATAAAGAAGCTATTTTTCGTTTGGTACAAAGAAGAATAATGCAAAAAATGTTTGGCTTTTTTTGTGTTCATTTACACCACCCAATGGTTTTGTTGGTAGTGAAACCGGATCCAGAGGAAGAAAACTGAGGCTGCTCTTGGTGGAGAGGCCGTCTTGGTTCTCTAGGTTTTGCAGGATCAACAAAGATCACCCATCCGTCTAAGAATTTTGCATTCATTCCTTCCTTAGCTTTCTCTGCATCTTGTATTGTCGCATATGTCACAAAACCGAAACCCTTCGATCTTCCTGTATCCCTGTCTGTAATCACTCTAGCTGCAAATATGGAAGAATAAGAATGTAGCTGAGTAATCTGATGCTCTATATATTGTTGGATCAGAAAGAAGAGTAGTGTTACCATCAACGAGCTCGCCAAAAGGAGCAAACGCATCTTGAAGCTTTTCATTGGTTGTGAGTCTGGAGAGACCTATTCATTGCACACACAAAAGATACAAAGAGTTTCATTCATATAATTGAAGTCTATATCCCATCCAGACAAATAACACAACTCAAAGAAACATAGTAAACTTTCAGACACAAGTTGGATACTTGATTTTGATTGATGGATCATTTCCCAAAATATCACAAACACAAGCAAATGCATATTTATCTGTAACAGAAAGATCACTCAAGCTTGCTTATCTGATCCATAGCAAAGCCATTGCTTTTCTTCAGACTCTGTTCCTAAAGCTGAGCTTTTTTATTCTTTTGGGTAAATAAATGAATGAGAATACACAGAAAGAAATATACCGCTAACGAAGAGCTTGGGAGATGAAAGAGTTGAACAGTGACGAGCCCAGGAGGATGGTGAAGACGAGAGGCTGTTGTTGGATCCGGCAATGATGCGGCGAAAAGAAGAAACGAACGCCATTGTTGTCACAAACTGAGAGAGAAGACACACATGTTGAGCGAGAGTATTTGTTTTAGGGCTTATTTACTTATTAATCGAATGAAAGCCCATATCAGAAAAAGGAAAGCCCAATAGTTATCATTCCAACGCCGCCGTTTCCTCTGTGAAGTGTCATGGCTTTGTTCAACATTTGTTAATCTCGTTGTCTCGTGATTTATGAAGGAAGTAAGATGAAGCCCATTAATTTAGGCCCACTATATGTGCAAAAAAAAAAAGATATATCTGTTAAATTCATTCGGTGGAATAACAATTATTGATATATATTTTTTTTTAAACAACTATTTATTCAAATATAGTGTAAAGTTACAATAAGAGTATAATTACAGAATTACATTTAAATGCAAAACTACAATTGTAAAACATTGAAGCACAAAGAACAAGATCTGAAGAACTTTTCTTCTGAACTATCTTCTTTCTTCTTATATATAACAATTATTGATATATATTATTTACGATATCTTTTTACATTTAAATTTCCAATTTTATTTTGTTTCCACACAATAATTTCTGATTGCAGTATTATCAGTCAACAAATATGCGGTAATAATTTTACCAAAACAAAAAATATGCGGTAATAAAAGCTGAATGCAACCATTATGGAGGATACATTTTAAATTTTTTTGATATTTAGATTTAGTTTTTTTTTTGGCTGAAATTTGGTGCATATTTAGATTTAGTTAGGGAAGAGAATCGATGAGTTTGGTACTGAAATCCCAAAGCTTATCGGCGAGAGAAATGTCGGTGGCGAAGTCACTTGGAGTGGTGACGTTACAGTCGGCGAAGTACTTCCCGGTGACGCCTTTTAAATCAGGATGTAGTGCCACGTAGCATGTCGTTGCTGCTCCCTGACCATTGCCGCCAAAAGAATAACAGAATTTTAGTTTCAATAAATAAATATATATTGGATTAGTATCTGAGAGAGAGAATTTAATTCACCTGAGGTATGTTTTTCCACAAGAAGAAACTCATAGCCTTGAAGACCGCTGAATAACGAAAAAATGTCGATTTTGATAAGAATCTCTAACGAATATGTTGGAATATAAGAAATAGATATAACCGGTACGTACACATTCCTAAACCGGAGTGACGAAAGAGATTAGTGGTGACAAGTCCTGGGTGTACCGAGTTTATTGTGATGTTCACACCTTCTTCCTACACCCCCATCATGTTATGATATACTGATATTGCAATATTTTTGTTTGCTTATTTAACAATGTAATCTGTTTACCTGTAGTTTGCGAGAGAGTGCATTGGAGTGCAATAAGTTTGCCAATTTTGACTGTCCATAAGCTTTTTTATCCGAATATCTAAATAAGTTTTTACATTGACAGTAAATTTAAGTTATAATCATCTCATTTCAAAGTAGTAAAACGTACGTACCGATCAGGGTCGTTGATGCCATCGAACATGATGCCTTCGGTGTAAGTATAAGTATGAGCTATAGATGACAGATTCACAATCCTTCCTTCGATTCCACTTTCTTTGGAGCTACTCTTCATTTTGTCCAGAAGCAGATTGGTCAATAGAAAATGACCTGGATTTTATTTAAATATACATAATAGATTAATGTCAAAATGGTTATTTATCGCCTATACATACTCTATCATGTTTCTTAAGAACATGAGCATCATGTGCTAACATGATGTTTTGATAATTAAATTTTACTTTTTCGAAATTTGTTTATCTAAATCATGTGTGACCAACTTCTGACTCAAGGTAGTACATATAATTTTGCTAAGATAGTGGCATAAATGATGACGTTTTCCTGATATATTGCCTTTTCAGAAATTCATGTCTCTTTCTATATAGCTTTTTGGAGATATAATTTACCAATTTATTTAACTAGTATTATATACGTATCTACATACATGATTTATCATTGTGGCACATAATAATATGTTTTTCGGATATGTATTTCAATATAGTTTTCTTATATGGAAATAAAGAAAATCAAGTCTTACCAATGTGGTTTGTTGCGAATTGTGATTCAACTCCATCTTCAGTGAGCTGGAAAGGACAAAACATAACACCTGCATTGTTTCTAACATTTCATAGACAAACACAAAGTTAAAAACATGACCTCAAAATCTTATTCACTGCATAAGAAGGACAATCTTTTTACATACATGAGTATATTGAGAGGGAGATTAAGGGCAAGAAACTGATGTACAAAAGATCTCACGGATTTGATGGAAGAGAGATCAAGCTGGAGACAGTCAATGCGTGCATTAGGGTACATCTCAAGAATCATCTCTTTAGATTCATTAGCAGCTTTTGTGTTTCTTGCGGCGATAATGACATGAGCTCCTCTCATTCCCAACACTCTTGCTGCTTCCAACCCAATCCCACTTGTTCCACCTTAATTTTATTGTTTCATTTTCAGATTTTTTATACCAGTTAAGTATATTGCCGGCGCAAAAAATAACGGTACAAAACTAGAAATGAGTCTACAAATGAGTCTTATACATGCATAAAAGTGTCTGAATCAGTTGTAAGTAAATTTATACAAAGTTTTTTTCCTTTTGGCTCAAGAAATAAAAATCTGTGTCGCTTTATTGTTTTACTTTGACTTTTAAAACTGATTTTCATTTTTTTTAAACACCCTGATTTTCATAGTAAAACTAAAAACATTAGAAAGAAAGAAAAAATTCAAATCCAGTCCGGGTTATATTTTTCATGCTTTTAATATCAAGCAAGATTAAAAAAAAAAAAGTAGAACAATAAGCAACATGTGACAAAAGTTTGATTTTGATGGTTTAGTATATGAGTATGCAAGCTTCAAATTTCATTGCAAGAAATCCTCCAAAACAAGCTCAGCTATTTTATTAAATAATATTTCTTCTGTTTCATTTTAATAGTTGTTTTAAGTTTTTGCAAACAAATTAAGAAAAATGTAAGAATTATTAGTTTTTTGTGTAACATTAAATATTAGCTAGAATACTGATATATATATATATATAAGCTTCTGATTCTAATTTAGTCTTAAGTCAAAGACAAGATACCAAATTACTAGTAATATTCACGATAAAAGGAAATAAAATTTTGGTGTTTGTATAGCCTTTAATTTTTCTTTTTAAACAAATGAAGGGGAAGAAAATATTGATGATTGGATGGCTGTTCTAATTTGGAAAAGAAACAAAGAAAATGAAAGCTTATCTCGAAATGCTAACTATAGCTTAACCTTTGAAGTTTGAATTTCTCTTCCGTATTAAAGGTGTGATTGGTGTGGAAACAAGATGAACAGTTTTCTTTTGTGGGAAGTTTTCAACTGAGAAAAAGTCATTTAATAACCAAAAAAATCATCTCTGCAATATTTTTCATAATTTTAATATATAATTAACCAGTGTCAAAAAAGAAAAAAACCAAAAAAAATCCTCTTTGCAATGGGAAAGGAGGAGTAGATCACATAGGAATTATCTCTTCTCTTACTACACCAATTACACCCTAAAATATTTCATGCTACATTGACCGAGTTATTATCCTTTGGGCAGAAAAGTCTCTCACGTCACCAAAAACGTAAGATAGTTTTCTGTTTGGCAGTAATGAATTTGTTTTGTTATTTCTTTCACGATTTGTAAAATTATCACATGGAATAGAAAAAAGAATAACCTGTGATGATGGCAGTGAGATGTTTGGCATCAATGGAGTGGGTGACATCTTCAGCTGTTGAAGCTGATCCAAATCCACTCTTTCCTGCTTTTCCTGTAACCATTCCATATATTTCCATGATATGCCTCTCAAAACTAATAAACCCTACTTTAAAAAAAAATGTTGCAGATTGCGAAGAAAAACGATGAAAAAGGAGAGAGGAGAAAATTGAGCGTTCTACAGATGGATGGTAAGGAACAAAGAAGAGCTTGGTTAACTATAAATAGTCTCACGCGTGAGTCGATAGAAGAGTCAAGAGTTGATGCTGACATGTGGTCGAGGAAGTTTTTAGCGGACAGCAAATCAAATTTAATGTTAAGAGATTTTGTTGAGGAATTAGAAAAGGGACAGACGTTTTCTTAATGTATTAAAGACTAATTACATCTCAAAATTAGTCTACACTCTACAGTATTCACCACATCCACTCCGGTTACAAAATAAGTTTTCCATTAATCTAATATAAAAAACATTATTGTAACCTTGCTGATTTTATGTACAGCATAATATAACAGACTTTGACGTCGACGACAAAAAAAAAAAAAACAGACTTTGACGTTTGATGTCTTTTAAAAGTTATTGATAGTATTTTTATTACCGGTTTCGGTCTCATATAATTTATGATCGTTTTTTAACAACCTAGCTATAATACAATGAATACATAGCTATCTGAAATGTCCTATGCTTAATTGCATCCTTGGATTGTCACTAAGTTTATATTTATTATATTTTTCATTAGATAATGTTTTAATATTGTGCGTATATATTTATATTTTAAAGTATTCATAATTTTTACATTTAAATAAATATAAACATCATTAATTATTCACTTAATTATAGATTGTAAAATAGAAATAGTTACATAACATAAAAATTAATAAGTTTTTTATTGAAAATTGAAAATATCATCTAATTTAAATTTTTAACATAACATTATATAAAGACGGAGATATTTATGTATTTATTCGTCAACTCCAGAATCGCCTCATCAACTGCTGTGCTGTATACGTTGGTAGATACCGATTTATGATGAGATTGACTAATTGTCAGTAGATTTAAATTTCTCATAACATGTTTTATGAAAGATGTTAATGAATCATGAATATATGTATATGTTTGATCGTTTGTACCCAATCATATTTATAATAGCAGACACAAAATATTATGAAACGTACGTATCATGAATTATGGGATGATAACGAAGTAGAGGCTACGATTGATGAAAATCATAAGAAATAATAAAAAAGAATAACACATCGATTGCAAATGGAAACCAGCACTTTCGGGGTAGGCATTCGGCAGAATGAAAAAATGAAAAGAGCATTTGTTTAAGCAAAAAGTCAAAATCTTAGATGATGTATATGTCAGTTTCTTTCATTAGCTAGAAAATATTCCAACGTCAAGATATGAAATTCGGACTAATATTTTTGGGTAATTCAATTTTTGGAGAACTGGCTTTCATAGTAATTCATTTGATGTTTAATAATGTGTAATGTCCCTTTTCCTTTGATGCTTCTATGTGTTGCAGGGCAAAAAAAACTTTCATCTTGTTCATACACTAGAGAAATTATTCACGAAATAATGATTCAGAGAGTTGATTAGATTAATTGGACGCATATATTTTTCAATATCCCACTTGGCACTTTATTTTCCGGAATTCTGTATTATCAACTTGGATTATATATGTCGGTTTAGCGTGTGAAGGGTTAATTTTTGTTTCAAAAATGATAAAGTTGTTCAAAAGAATATGATAATGTTGTCATGTTTTTTTTTTTTTGATTAATCTGGGGGACAACCCACATATAGATCTTCTCTCCGAATATTCAAATGGATCCCAAATGGATCAAACCTGAAACATGTTAGTGTCTCAACTCGTCTCCTTACCACTCGACCACAATCATTCGGTCAATTATTATTGCCATGTTTTCTTCTTAAAAGAAAATTTTACTGTTGTCATGTTTTCTTCTTAAAAGAAAATTTGACGATAGCATTTAACTTACATACTAAACTATAATCTAGTTCTGGATAAATGGAAGAGAACCTTTTAAGTTAAACTGTAAAACATACACAGATTAACAAAAAAAACATACACGTTACACCCAAGACGAACATGTAAAACATATAAACATTAACAAGAAATGAAAAATGTTAATACGTAAACATGAAACATATACACCCAAGATGAACGTAAGTGTGAACTTATCCTCTACTTTTAAACTATAAAAATATGAAATGAGACGTAACTATGAAAATATTAATTTACAAAGAAAAAAGAGTTGAATCCCGTACGTTAAGCAAACTTTAGCGAACCATTCCCTTACGATTCAGATGTCTCATGTCTCTATAGAGACACCGCATACATGTTTTTCCACCTCTATTGTCTATTTATTTGTCGGACTATAATATGTAATGAACTTACGTATCATAATAACCAGACATGACAAATCAACAATTGATTGAGAAAGAAGACAATAACAAGTTGTGATCTAACTAGAAGATTACACAACTAAAACAAAAAAAAACTCATTACATTACATGACATTGAAAAGAATCTTCTGTAAATTATCACCAAAATTCATTACAAGAGCAAAGCCCATCTTTAAAATGATGGAAACGGGACCGGTCTCTAACGATCACGACACGATCATAAACACGAGACACAAACTTTGCAAAGTTATGGCAATCAACACAAGTTCTAAGATTCTTGGTCACTCTAATAGTAGTCCCCGGTGGAGTCACAAGAATACCAAATGCAATAGCTAACTTCTCGCTATGATACGTCAACGCACGTCCCTTCTCTTCCTCTGACTCAATATTATGCAATTCCGACGCCGTTTCCGCCACGTAACCAGCAATCTTCAGCTGCTGATTGATCTCCTCCAGCATCTTATAAATCTCTTCCTTCCTCGGATGAGAAACATCGTCCACTATAAACTCATGAACTCTTCCTTGTTCTACCTCGATGGCACTACATCCAGGTTTAGTATGGATTCTTTTCTCCTTCATCAATGAACGAAGCTCAGTCACTTTCTCCCATCTCCCAGCAGAAGAGTACGTGTTGAGTAACAGAACGTAATCTCCAGCTTCTTCGGCTTTGAGTTCAATAAGACGAGAGATCACACGCTCCCCAAGCTCCACATTCCCTTGGACTCTACAAGCACCGAGAAGAGTACGCCATATTGTAGAGTCTGGCTTCATCTCCATCGATTCTACAAGACTATACGCTTTTTCTAGTAAACGAGCACGTCCCAACAGATCAACCACACATCCATAGTGATGCAAATTCGGCTTCATCTTATTAAACTCACCACTCTTTAGCCTCTCGAAGAACATCATCCCTTCCTCAACCAAACCCGAATGGCTACACGCAGATAACAAACCAGTGAGTGTCTGCTCCTCTGGAGAGATACCACACTTCAACATCTCCTCAAAAGCTTCAATAGCTTCTCTCCCAAACCCGTTCATTGCTAAACCAGAGATCATAGCCGTCCACGAGACAACGTTCCTCTCACGCATTTCTCTAAAAACCTCGTACGCCTTGTCCATATCCCCGCAACGTGAGTACATTGAGACAAGAGTGTTGCTCAAGTTCAACGCACCACCGAGTCCATTCTCATCTATAAACGCATGAACCTGTTTACCGAAGTCCAACGCGCCTAGGCTCGCGCAAGCTTGTAGAGCAAGTAAGCACGTGACACCGTCTGGTTTGTTCACAGACCCGTTCTTAATCATATTATCAAAGTGATAAAGAACGTCACGTGTGCGTTTGTTACGGAGGAAACACGACATGAGGACGTTATAACAAACGGTATCTCTCTCGGGAATTTCGTCGAACACTTTACAAGCATCAGTACTATTCTCAAAAGTTGAGTAAAAATCCATCAGAGTTGTTAACAAGAGACTATCCGAGAGAAACCCATCTCTAAAAATCTTGCCGTGGATCTGCAAACCGCCGGTTAAGTCACGTGACTTGATGCAGCACTTGAGAGCGAAGGAGGAGGAGAGAGGGTTAGAGGGAGGGAAGGCTTTGCGTCTGAGGGAACGGAAGAGGAGGAAGCCTTGGGAGGGAGTTTCGCTGAGGGAGAAGGCTCTGATCATTGTGTTGCAGTGAGAGAGAGTTGGGTTGGTTCTTTGGGAGAAGACGCGGCGTGAGTAGTTGATGTCTCGGGGGACGAGGGAGAGAGCGAGGCGAGAGAGGAAGTGGTGGAAAATGTCGGAGTTTTTGATTAAGGAAGTGCGGAGTAAGACGGCGTGGATTTGTCGGAGATGGGGTTTTGTGGTGGAAGATGTGATCAGAGAGATCAGGTGGTCTTCGCTGATGCTCATGGACTTCAACATTTCTTTGAAAACGAGACCGAAGTCGAAGCCGACAAGTTAAAACACTTATGTCACATCTATGGTGGTTATATAACTTATATTCTTTTATTATTGTCTCAATATGGTTAGTAGAAAAATCAACCCATAGAATATCTTGCAAAAAATTAAGATTAATAGACGAAAATTGTTGAAAATGTCATTACAAATTTATAAGAAAAAAAAAAAAAAAAGAACTGAAGAATAACCCGATTCGATTAACAAGCAGTTCCCTATAAAGCTTGTCCAAATATAATGAAGATTAAAAAAAAACTATATTGTATGAGCAAATCATGACGCTCACTAGTTCATGAACGCCAAGAAATCAATAATGTGAAAGAAAAACAGACATGCAATGGGCTTACAATGGTTGAGATCACCAAGATAATCACCACTCTGTGCACTATCTCTTTGTGACAGAAGACAACGACCATAAGTCTTTGCTTTTTCCTTAATTGTACAACTTCATTCACCATTTGTCCTGGCACACCTGTGGATTAAGAGAATAGTGTTATTAGAACATTGTATCGATATCAAAAAGTTAGATTAGTTCGTGCTTACCCCTAGAGAAAACCTCCACCAGTCCAAGCAGTGTCTGGTTTCCCATTGTGGCCTGCAGATTTCTTATCCCCTGCAGCACTCTGATAATAACCATCATCATCATCTTTAGCATCGTTATCATCCCAACCAGCCCAACCATCATCATCATCATCTTTAGAAGTCGACACCTTTGGTGCTACTTCCTTTTTGACCGTTTTGTTCTCTTCTCCCCAGTCATCCCAAGAGTTCGAGTTACGGTAACTGTTTTGGTGACCACTTAATGAAGATTGTGATACTTTTGGTTCTGCTTCCTTTTTGATAGTGTTGTTCTCTTCTCCCCAGTCATCCCACGAATTCGAGTTACGATCGTTGTTTTGGTAACTTGATGATGATTGTGACCCACCAAGAGATGAGTTAGTTGCTCCTTTGTTCTGGTAGTAACCAATTCCCTCATTCTTATTCTGTTGGTTCCAGGTTGATGATTCTTCCTTAGTGAACTCTTCAACCTTTTGTGAAGCAATTGCCATAACTCCTTTCATGATCCCCCAAGTCCTCTGTCCAATCTCCGTTGTCTTACTTGCAACAACATTAACAGTCTCACTTACGGTGTTATCTAAGCCACCTTCTTTGACCTGCAACGAATAAGGTTTGTCTTTTTTATCTCAATTTGACCTCACTAAACAAGATTTTCGCATGTATTTGGCACAGGAACTGTACAGAGACTTAGAAAGCATCCAGCATCACGTTTTAACCAGAGTATCAGTTAATCTACTAGAAGATTATGCAGCTAAACAAACCACCAACTTTGTGTTCAAAATGATGTCGAAAATGGGAGCATATGGCAAGGAGAAAAGGAGACTACAGATTTGCTACCAAGAAGTGTGTCTTGATTATTTGACTTCACTCTACAAGATTCTAGCATTGACTCGGCACATGAAATGTATACAGACTTATAGAGCATCCAGTATTACGCTTAATCAAAACTACAGTTGATCTAAAAAGAATATTACGTATGTAAAACAAGACACCAACTTTGTGCTCCATAACATTATCGAAAATGAGAGTCTACGGGAATGAGAAAAGGAAACTACAGATCTTCTACCAAGCAGTGTGTCTTGACACTAAATCAAGATGCGGCTTTAAAGGGCTATTGGTTACAACCTTAGCTAACCAAGCACATGATTAAACAAAATGATAAAAGAAGTACCTTTGAAGTGAACTCCATGGTTCCTGACTGAACAACATTCGCAGCAGATGCGGCAACAAGAGACAATCTCCCGAATCCCTATATGAGTAAACATAGAGAACTCTCACTTACTCAACTCAAAACCTAACCTTAAATCAATTCACACTCAAAAAAGCATCAAACTTTACCTCAGACACAACAGAAAAAACATCACCACTCTGTTGATTACTCCTCACACTCGGGCCAGGACTCGATCCAAACCCAACATACTTCCCTCCCTGCGAAGGAGGAAGCCCCTCAGGCTTAGACTCATTCTCCGCCATCCTCCTCGCGAAAAAACTCTCCTTACTCGCAGCAGACGCCTCAAGCTGCGACCTCGAGTATATATCCTCCGACGACTTCGACTTCGCCGGACCACCACCACCACCACCGCCACCTCCATAACCCCTAAAATCACTCGCCGACTGGTTCCTCCTCGGAGACCTAAACGCATCCTCGTTATCCCAATCATCCCACCCTCCATCACTCCCCTGAATCACAGGGCGGGAACAAAAGCTTTTACTAGTATATCTTTTAAATAGATCAGGGGTATATAAGTAATTTCCACATTAATTATTTTAAATAAAAAAAAGAGGTTGGGCCTTCTCACCTGGGCCAGGCCCAACGGAGGCTTCTTATTATTATTAACAACCTCCTTAACAACCACCGGATCTCTCCACTGCCTCCCCTCCGCCAACGCCTGGATCCGATCGCGATACACCGAAGCCGCGTTGGAGTTATACTTGGAGACGATCTCCGTCTCCTTGGAGATCCCGTAGAGAGCGAGAAACTTGTTGAGCTTCTCGTTGCCTCCCGATTCCATCTTCTTGATCTGGATCTCGGACCACGAGTCCATCGTGACGGATCTGACGAAGGAGATGTGGACGCCGAGGCCTCGGTGCTTCCCGGAGCACTCTAGGCACATGAAGATGCCGTAGGAGATTGAGGCCCATTGTGGATTCTTTTGCGAGCAGTCGACGCAGGTTTTGTTCTCTGGTTGGGATTGGAGCGTGCGGAGTCGCGTCGCTGCCGCCATGTGTGGGGATTGTTAGCTTTGATTTGAGGTTTGACCCGACCCGCGGAGAGATCTGATCCAAGAGGCAGAGAGTCTGA